TGGTACGGTGCAGTATAGTGTGGTACGGTGTAGTATAGTGTAGTAAGGTGCAGTACAGGACAGTGTGGTGTGGTACGGTGCAGTACAGTGTGGTACGGTGTAGTATAGTGTAGTACGGTGCAGTACAGTGTAGTACGGTGCAGTACAGGACAGTGTGGTACGGTGCAGTACAGTGTGGTACGGCGTAGTATAGTGTAGTACGGTGCAGTACAGTGTAGTATGGTGCAGTACAGGACAGTGTGGTGTGGTATGGTGCAGTATAGTGTGGTAAGGTGCAGTACAGTGTAGTACGGTGCAGTACAGGACAGTGTGGTGTGGTACGGTGCAGTATAGTGTGGTACGGTGTAGTATAGCGTGGTACAGTGTAGTATAGTGTAGTACGGTGCAGTACAGTGTAGTACGGTGCAGTACAGGACAGTGTGGTGTGGTACGGTGCAGTATAGTGTGGTAAGGTGCAGTATAGTGTAGTACGGTGTAGTATAGTGTAGTAAGGTGCAGTACAGGACAGTGTGGTGTGGTTCGGTGCAGTATAGTGTGGTAAGGTGCAGTACAGTGTAGTACGGTGCAATACAGTGTAGTACGGTGCAGTACAGGACAGTGTGGTGTGGTACGGTGCAGTATAGTGTGGTACGGTGCAGTATAGTGTGGTACGGTGTAGTATTACAGTGTAGTACGGTGCAGTACAGGACAGTGTGGTGTGGTACGGTGCAGTATAGTGTGGTAAGGTGCAGTATGGTGTAGTACGGTGCAGTACAGGACAGTGTCATGATCATCTCTGCTCTCTTTAAGTCATATTGTGTGTACTCCCCAGTCTCTTCTCCTCTTCCATGTAGCCTCAGAATTCCCACCTGGAAAATGGGGCCAACAAACACCTGACAGAGCTTCAGTGGGATGAATCCAGCAGGAAGAATGCAGGCCGAGGTCTTGCACACAACACCAACAGCAGGGGCCCCGTTTGTGTGACACGTGACACTCCCTCAGGTTTCGTACACACACTCACGTACGCTCCGCAACGCCCCAAGAACACCAGGATTATTCTTCATCCCCATTTTACAGACCAGCACACAGAGGCAAGAGTGGTCTGACTGCGCGGGTCTCCCCACTGAGAGTCAGTGGTCTGACTTCCCCCAGGAGCCCAGGGCCGGGCCCTCAAACCTCCCACACATCCAGGGACTGGATCCACTGACCAAAGCCATGGCTCCCGAAGTGGCTACGTCGTGTTTCCAGCTCTGCCACCATCCCCAAGAGCAGGCCAGAATGTAATGCCCAGCTGCGCCCCCACCCACCTGCCCTCACCCCGGCGCCTCGTGCTCCTGGCACCTCTACCCCGTGCAGCCACACAAGCCAGGTCCCCAGGGACTGGAGGTCCCCCAGGAACTAGACAGCCATGGGCCAACCTCCCCATGGCCCCACATTTCATGTAGGACCAAGGACACACCACCTGGAGTGTCAGCACCGGGGACAGAGGAGCATGTCGATGGGGGCCCAGGGCTTCTCCTTGGTGTCACCATGTTCTCTGCACATGTGGGCAGCCCCCCGGGCTCCCGAGACCCCTCACCAAGCTCGACTGCTCGAACCCTCCTAGCCCCAGCTGCCCCATTTACCTTATGTCGCCTCCATTCATGATAGTCATCACCAGACAGAGGTCAGTTTTGGTTTCAAATGCATAGGCCAGAGAGACTATAAACCTGCTGTGTACCTTTGCTAGAATCTTCTTCTCTACCATAGCACCCTGAAAAGCAAGACGTCAAATCAGTACCCAGGTTTAAGCAGGACAGTGACGTCACTGAAAAGAGCAAGGACCAGAAAATACCAGAAAATAGCAACAGAGTTGCAAAGGTACCTGACACAGCTTGCATAAAGCAACTGCAAATAACTTACAGACACGTATCACTCGTCCCATTCCCAGGGACCAAAGCAATCACGCAAACATGTGCGTGTACCGAGGACTCCAGGTTTCCTGGAGCCTCCAGCAAGGAGGCAGGAGTCGGACCACCAGCCTTCACAACACCGGGTGAGGGTCCAGCACGTCCCTTGCTCAGAGCTGACCCTCCTTCCAGCCGTCCTTACACCTGACCAGCTGACCCACTGCAACCCCAGACCCGATCCTCCCTCCAGGCCCCTGGACAGCGGACAGCCAGGGACCCACCAGCACCTGCTCATTTTCTGTCCATTTAACACGTTTTTTAAAGTTGTGTTTGGGAAGGGACGGTACAATCCCTTTGTGAAGGAGGAATTCTTGGTGTTCCGGAAGGCCCCTCTGCATCCACACTGCAGGGCAGATTTCGGGTCTTCCTGAGTAATAAGTTCAGTGAGGACCCTGAACTCGGGACAGAAGACACTGTGGGTTAAGACGACACGTGGACCGCTGTGAAGGATACCTGCTTGCCCCTGCAGCCCCAAGGGGACAGCACTATCGAGAAACCCCGGGGTGGGCACCCTTGGTGGCTGCTATTTACCCCAAAAGCTGCATTTGCGCTGTGTGGCAGGACAGGACGGGAACCACATGGGACGGGAGAGGAACTCCTATGGCACAGCAGCTTTTGCTGTCTGGCCGAAAGGGAGTCTGACCCCTGTTGGGGACAGCAGACCCCATGCAGCAACACGCTGTGCCTTGGTCCCCCCCTGCCCCGGGGAAGACAAGGCAGATGCTGCCCGGCGTGGCTGGACTCCCAGTGTGCCCTCCATCATAGCACAAGCCAGTGCGTGGAGAGCTCCAGAAAGCCGGGGTAAAGAACCAACAGCCCCCCTAACACCTGCTCCCCGATTTCACGGTAGCAGTGAAAACACAAGGAAGGCTGGCAGGAGGGGCCCCTGCATGGCTCAGTCGGTTGAGCATCCGAGTCTTGGTTTCGGCTCAGCTCATGCTCAGGGTCATGGGATTGAGCCCCGCATCAGGCTCTGTGCTCAGTGTGGAGTCGGCTTAAGATTCTGCCCCTCTGCCCCTCCGCCCCTCCTCCTCTGCTCGCATGCGCTCTCTCCAAAATAAATCTTTAGGGGCACCTGGTGGCTCAGTTGTTGAAGCGTCTGCCTTCGGCTCAGGTCATAATCCCAGGGTCCTGGGATCGAGCCCCGCATCGGGCTCCCTGCTCGGCAGGAGGATTGCTTCTCCCTCTCCCTCTCCCCTACTTGTGTGCTCTCCCTCTCTTTCTCTCTCAAATAAATAAAATCTTTAAAAATAAATAAAATAAATCTCTAAAAAAAAGATGTCTGGTGGGATGTGCAGTACCACCCACACCAACAAACACAGAGGCCGCCTCCGAGGAGGGGCAAACCCCGTGTGTGTGCAGAGCCAGGCCAGGGGGTGGGTGCAGAGCTGTGGACTGCCCCCTCCATGCCCCGCAGGCCAGACCGTCGGCTCAGGAGGAGAAGGCTGCCCAACGGGAGGGGCCCGGTGTCCCCAGGGCCGAGGAGCCAGCCCATGAAGGGCGCTGTGTGGGGCTGGACATGGTCCCTGATGCCCTCCCACCGCCATGAATGGCTGGCTGCCCACCTGGTACCCCTTCCTTTTCTTGAGTCTCTTCTTGTTGAGCTTCTTGCACGCATACAGCTTGCCGGTGGCCTTCATCTGGCAGGCGGACACCTCCCCGAAGCCACCTTTCCCCAGGACCCTGAAGTCCAGGAACCAGTCCTCACCCGTCGGCTGGGCCTCCAGCCACTTCCACTGCAGGAACCTCTGGAAGTACAGACTGCCCAGGTACTCCTGGAAGGGTGCCTGGCTCAGGTGCGCGAGGGTGGCCTGCAGCAGGGGCTGGAAGAGCCCATCCCCTCTCGCCACAGGCCCCTCCCGGGCCTTCGCCACCGTCCCCTCATCCAGGAAGCTGCAGAAGAGCTTGGCCTGGGGTTCCAGGTACTCGGCCAGGATGGCCCGGGCTTTCTGTGGCCGGAGGTCATCATCTGCCGTGTCATAGTCTTCGATGTCCTTCCAGAGCTCCAGAGCCGGCACGTGCCTCTCGTCAGCCCCCAGGAACTGCTGGAAGAGCCGCTTGCCGATGGGCTGCTCTGAGCACACACTCGGAAACGCCAGGTCCAGGCTCTCACGGAGGCCCTCACACTTGGACAGTGGGGGCAACCTGAGCTTGGCCAGGTACTTCCTGTCCCGAGAAGATGGGCCACTGCTCCCGTCGAAGCTGCCCCGGGCGGCAATGAAGGCCGAGTTGGCCACCACCGTCTCCAGGGAACCGAAATCCATCCTGGTGCTGGCCTCCCACCGCGTCAGGCACGAGAGGCCTGACCCGCCACCCCAGGCCCGTGCCCCCTGCCCTCCCCAGACAGCAGGTGTCCCAGCAGGTGTGAGGGTGACTGGGGGCCACACCGGGAGCCCAGGGAACCCAGCTGACACAGCTCTGGCCAAATCCCAGCCCAGGGTCACAGAGCAGGTGCCAAAAAAAGACAATCCCCTAAGCTGCTTCCAGGAGGATTAGACGGCCCCTCCTTCCTGCCGCCTCCTCCTCGGGGCCCACCGGGAAGGACAAACTCCAGACCCCAAAGCATCTCCCTGAAGCTGCCCCGTCGGGCCCCCAGCCCCAGTAGACAGGGCACCTGCTTGTTCCCTTGCAGGAGCGGGAGGCCAAACAGAAGGCAGAGGGGCCCAGGAGAAACCCCGACTCAATAAAGATCGCTGGGTAGGGGCTTTCCCACTATATTTCATTTTTGTCTCAAAAAAATTCCAAGTGGGAGGAAAAACAGCTGATAACAGGAATTCAGAGAGAAAAAAACCGCATAGTGAACAGCTTCCTGGGGTGTCTGAGGGTGGAACCACTGTCAGGGGACTAGTTAGTATGTGGGGACCTGGCCTGACACTGACAGTAGCCTGCCTCCAGGTCACCTGCCCACACTGGGGACCTAAGGTAACCCCAGCACCTGCCGAGGGATCAGCTCCACATCAGCTCCCTCCCTTCTCCTGGGCTGTGCCAGCAAAGCGTAAATGCCTAGAGAAGCTTCAGGTGAAGTTAGGACTGAAGCAGGAGACCCTCAGCTACACCCAGGGCTGAGGCCCCAAACAGAGAGACAAGTGAGAGGGGAGTAAGGAGGCCTGGGACACACCTGGGGGACACACCTGGGGAGACACACCTGGGGCACACCTGGGGGAACCACCTGGGGGGACACACCTGGGACACACCTGGGGGAACCACCTGGGGGGACAGCTGGGGCACACCTCGGGGAACCACCTGGGGGGACACACCTGGGGGACACACCTGGGGAGACACACCTGGGGCACACCTGGGGGACACACCTGGGGAGACACACCTGGGGCACACCTGGGGGAACCACCTGGGGGGACACACCTGGGGGAACCACCTGGGGGGACACACCTGGGGGACACACCTGGGGGAACCACCTGGGGGGACACACCTGGGGGAACCACCTGGGGGGACACACCTGGGGCACACCTGGGGGAACCACCTGGGGGGACACACCTGGGACACACCCCTGGGGGACACATCTGGGGCACAGCCCTGGGGCACACCCTGGGGGAAGCCCCCTGGGGGACACACCTGGGGGACATCTGGGGGTGCCAGGACCAACAGAAATGTCAGATTCACACAGACATGGTCTTGTCTATCTAGTACACAGCAGGTATTCAGTAAATGTGTGGGGAAGAAAAGGAAGTGATGGAGGTTGGTTATAATTTAAAGAGGGGAGGAAGTGAGAGGTCAGAGAAACAAGAATGCAGGAGCCAGAAGAGCCAGGGAAGACCAGCCCACCCCGTGTTCCTCCTGGGACAAAGAGGGTGTCTGGGAGGCAGGGAGGTTCTGCAGTGGGTGTGGCAGAAGGCAGGGGAGGCCAAGGGAGAACTTGCTGTCTGAGCAGCCACAGTCCCCTCCTTAAGCCCCCCCTGCCTACCTGTCAGGGTTCACGGGACAGTGGGTGGGGTTTGCTGGAGCCTCTACCAGCAATGCCCGCAGTGTGCCCTCAGTCTGCGCTTCCCCATGGTGCCGGCCACACCAATCGCCCAGAGATCTTGCCAAAATAAAGACTGCTTCAGTGGCCCAGGCTGGGGCCGAGACTGTGCGTGTCTCCTGAGCTGCCTGGGGACGCAGTGGGCAGGTTGGTGTGGTCTGGGCTGTTCTGGTCCCTCCACCACCACCACTCTGTCTCCATTACTGTACGTAATACCTCCTACAGATAACAGGCCTTGGAACCGAGTACATGGAGTTGTCAACTTTATTGCTCTTTGTCCCAAAAATAGTTTTCAAACAACACAGTTTTTAAAACTATTCAAAATATGGAAGAAAATATCACACTTCCTTTGCCTTTCTATATAAATTTTACAAAAGTCTGTGTCTACACAGAAACATCTTGCTGGATCTCGATAGGAGTTACACCTGTGTATCAACTTGGGGAGAACTGGCATCTTTAGCGGCTGAGTCTCCCAACCTATGAACATAACATGTCTCCATTTCCTGGGATCCTTCAGTGCTGTCCTCACCAACATGCAGCTTTCAGCATGTGAGTCCGTAAGTGTTCTCTTGGATTAATACCTAAATGTTCCTTTTTGTTTTGAGCAATTGCCAATGGTATTGTATTTTTAATTTTGGTATCTATGTGTTCATTGCTAGTAAATGAAATAGTTGATTTGGGGGCATTAATCTTGTGTCCTCTGCCTCTTGCTGAACTCACTTTGTTCTAGATTTTTTGAAGTCTTTGGCATTGTCTACACGTACAACCCTGCCATCTGAAAACGGGGAGTTTCGTTTCTTCCTTTCTAGTCTGTATGCCTTTTCTTTTCTTGCTTATTCCACTAGCTGGGAAGTCTAGCACAAGGTTGCCTCAGAGGCGAGAGCAGAGATCCATGCCTCGTTCTTAGTCACAGGGTAGACATAGCCAATCCTTCACCACTGGACGGCATGCCGGCTGTAGAGATCCTGTCAATGCTTTTCATCAAGTTTGTCTATTCCCAGCCTGCTGAGAACTTTTATCATAAATGGATCTTTAATTTTGTCAAGTGCTTTTTCTGCATCAGCTGACATGATCATGATTTTTCTTCTTTAGCTTGTCAAAGTAGGGTATTACACTGATTTTTGAATATTGAACCTGCTCTCCATCTCTAGAACATAACCCTCTCGGTCATGGTGTTTAATGTTTTTTTTTTTTAAATGTTTTATTTATTATTCATGAGAGTCAGAGAGAGAGAGAGAGAGAGAGAGAGAGAGAGAGAGAGGCAGAGGGAGAAGCAGGCTCCCCGCCCAGCAGGGAGCCCGATGCGGGACCCGATCCCAGGACCCCAGGATCATGACCCGAGCCGAAGGCAGACGCTCAACCATCTGAGCCACCCAGGTGCCCCATGTTTAATGCTTTTTTAAAAAAGATTTATTCATTTATTTGAGAGAGCGAGCGAGCATGAGGGGGAGAGGGAGAGAGAATCTTAAGAGCCCGACTCGGGGCTCAGTCCCACAACCATGAGATTAGGACCTGAGCCAAAACCAAGAGTCAGATGCCCAACCAACTGCGCCACCCAGGTGCCTGTTTAATGCTTTTTATACACTGTTGGATTCAATTTGCCAATACTTGGTTAAGGACTTTGGTGGCTCTATTTGTGAGGGATTTGGTCTGCAGTTTTTGTTGCTGTCTGTGCTTTGTCTGATTTTGGTGAAGGGTGTACTGGCCTAATAAATCAGTCGGGAAGTTCCCTTCTATTTTGCAAAGGATACAGGGCACAATTTGTGCTCTTCGTTACGTGTTTGGTAGAATTCTCCAGTGAAACCATCAGGGCCTGGAGGATTTTTTTGTTGGGAGATTTTAAATTATAAACTCAATTTCCTTAATAGTTATAGGGCTATTCAAAGTATCTATTTCAAATTGGACAGGTTGTGTTTTTTTGAGAAGAGACCAATTTCACGGATTTGTTGAGTATATGTATAAAACTGTGTGTGGTATTTCCTTTGTCTGAAGGGTCTGTAGTGATATTTCATTTTTGATGTGATTATGTGTCTTTTCTCTTGCTATAGGTTTGTCAATTTTATTGACTTTTCAAAGAACCAGTTCTTTCACTGATTTTCCCTTTTGCTTTCCCGTTTTTAATTTCATTGATTTCTGTTTTAATTTCATTTTATTTCTTCCTTCTACTTGCTACCCCCCCCCCTTTTTCTGTTTTCCAAGTGGGAACTTGGATTATTAACTTGAGACTTTCTTTTTGAATGCATAAACTTAGAACTATAAACTCTCCTTTTAACAATGCTTTAGCTATGTCCCATGAATTTTGATGTTATATATTTGTCATCAGGCCTACAAATACATATTTCTTTTTAATTTCCCTCAAGACTTCCTTTTGACTCACGAATTATTTTAAATGTATTGTTTAGTTTTCACATGTTTGGAAATTTTCCTGTTATCTATTACTAGTTTCTAGTTTGATTGTATCGTGGCTGGAGAACACACTCTGTATGATCTCGACTCTCTTAAATTTGTTGAGCTTTATTTTATGGCCCAGGATATGGGCTACCCTGGTCACTTAAAAAGAAATTGTATTCTGCTGTGCTTGGGTGGGGTGTTCGACAAATGTCAATGGCATCCTCTTGGTTGACAATATTGTTGAGTTCTTCTATATCCATGCTGATTTTCTATTTAGCTATTCTATCAATTGTTGAGAGAGAAGTATTGAAGCCCATAACTAAAATTGTGGATTTGTCTATTTCTACTTTCAGTTTATTAGTCCGCTTCACGTATTTTGCAGCTCTGTTGTTTGGTGCATACACATTTAGGATTGCTTTTTCTTCTTGGTGGATTGACCTTTTATCATTACACAATGTCTGTTGTAATTTTCTCTGCTGTGAAGTCTATATATTAATATAATCATACATGCTTCATTTGATTAGTATTTGCAGGATATATCTCTTTCCATTCTTTCCCATTCAACCTACCTAGAATATTCTATTTGAGATGAGTTTCTTATAGATAGCCTACAGTTGGCTCATGTTTTTAAATCCACTGTCAGTTTTTTGATTGGTGTATTTATAGCATTTATATTTAATGTTATTGTTGCTCAAGTCTGCCATTTTTGTTTTTCATTTGTTTTCTTTTCCCATTTTTCCTGTGGGTTACTTGAACATTTTTTGGAATTCAATTTTGATTTATCTATAGTATTTTTGAGTGTATCTCTTTATGCAGATTTTTATTGGTTGCTACTGGTATCATATACACATGACCTATCAAATTCTACTATCATCTTTTTAAAGGTTTATTTATTTGAGAGTGTGTGCACACGAGTTGGGGGAGG